ATGGACAATTGGCACAATATCCTCCTAACATTTGTCTATTATGTGGAATACCCCTCTAACCTTTCATTTTGACGCAATATACCCCTAAATCACCCAAACGTTGCCAAAAATCCCTTACCGTCCACAAGTGTTGATTTCTCCGTTAAAAGGGCTTTGTGCATTTTTACGAAAATGTCCATAAGGAACAATGTTTTGTTTATATGACTCGTGATTCAAAAACTTATTAGTAAAAACACTCTATTAACTAAAGAACGACAAAAATTCTCTTCGATTGAAACAATTTTTTGCGACTTAACGAAAACGCTCCTAAATCGACGTAGAAGACTCCAAAGTAGGACCTTTTTTGTTTAATTTGGGCTTAAATATATTGGTCTTTCAAATGATATAAGATTTATGATATGGAATTTCGAAATCCTTTTGAAACCTTTGCATGAAACATCTTATTATTAGTTTAGGTTATTAGTTATTTTACATTAGATTAATCTAAAATTCCAAAATTTGTGTTCCGTGCTTAAGTTCCAAGTAGTATATAGTTAATTTAGTTGGAAAATCAACTAGTCCTCGTTTGAATGTTAATCTAAATTCCTCATATCCATTTTACTACTTGTATATGAAATATGTTCTTGCGATGTTTGCAAAATCTATTCAAATAACTCATTCTCGACCATATATTGATTGTTCAATAATGTCTCTACAAATACAATTGAATCAATTATAAGATGTTGGAGCCAGGTAATGCTAGCAAAATATGCAAGCTCGATCGTGTTCACCATACGTGAATCGATACCAAAGCCTACATCTATTAGTAATCCTACAATATATCCTCTAAAATATCGCCATTTGGTATTATAGATGAGCTCAGCATCATTATCTATCGCTAAAACTGAAAGTCCAATTTCGATGGCAAAGGTGAGGCCATATATACCAAACGGCAATGGAGACCTCCACCTCCGGGGAGAAAAATGTTTTAAAAAATATTCATTTGTCATGTGTGCCAACGTATGTAATTAATTGTGTATAAAAGTTATTTTAAAATTAAGCCCAAAATAAAGTGATATAATAAGGAATTAAGTAATTGAGTTTTGGGTATCTAAATAAAGTGTGGATCTGGTTATATATGTAGAGACTGAATTCATTAGGATTGCATTTGACGATGGACTAAATACATATAAAGATATAAATATGGTTATGGTACACAATTCTTTGTGCCTCCCATCAACACAAGAATAATTAAGAGAAAAACACATTGAAGAGAAAGATTAAAAAAACCCACAATCAAGAACTCAAAAATCAAAAGAGTCGATAATCAAGATTCGGAATCAAGATCGAGTATCAAACAATCATTCCCAATGAATTAAAGTATGTTCTGCATTTAATAATTCTCTTCGTTGTTTGATTGGAGGATCTTGATAATTAAGTAATTAGGTTTTCATTTTTTTGAGATTTAAAGTTTCATAAAATTGTAACAAAGAAACAAAATGATTCGGCCAACTAGTCCAAACTGAACCCTGATCACCGTACTTTTTATTATCGTTATCTGTTCAGCTCCAGAGGTGTTCCCAATTAGCCACTCTCACTTCGTTGTCATCAGAGAAGAAGCTGCTTGAATTATCATATGGGTGCTGTGGGATTAGGATTTCCTGATACTGCAACATTTGTTCTGGAATGAAATCTTCAGAATTGGTAATTTCGCGGGATTTCATATTCATGTTCAAGATTTGTGCATGAGCCTTTGCCAATTCTGTTTGGAGCTCAATAACTTGATTCTGAAGTTGACAAATCGTGCCGGCACAGCCGTAAACTGGATCTCTCGTTCTTGCACTGGCTTCATAAACCATGCTGTTTACAGCATCTTCTCTTTGATTCTCAGGAAGTCTCTGAAATATACATTATTTTCTTACTACATCAGCTATAAAAGTTCATATTTAAAACGTAGAAAGTAGAGAGTGATTCCAAATGAGTACTAATAAAGAAAAGAAGTTAAACAGTTTGGTATAGATTAAAATCTTATTTGAACCACGTATTTCTTGACACCTATAACTTTTCAATCACATTTCATCAACTTTTATCAAAATCTACAAAAATCTTGATTTTAAAACTCTCTCAGTTTGAACTTATTACCTGCAATAACTTGATGATGTTACTGGCCCCAAATACCCTATGGGCCATGGCGAACTTCATTGGCTCACTCGGCGGAAAATAAGGCGCTAACACACAATTCTCATCACATTTTCGCCGTAGGATTTTGCATGCAGCACAAGGACTAACAACGACTTCCGGACGAGGAGAGGAAGTGATGGCCACCGTGGTTTTCCTGTATTCCATTTTGTTGTTGAGTTGATATGTTGAGTGTGTTCTACAATGGAGAGAAAAATGTATTTATAGAGTAGGATAAACTATTAAATCCTGGAAATTGATTAATTTTTCTAATAATTCGTTAAGTCTGAAGAATTGAAAAACGTGCCAAACTTTTTATTATTACTCTCTCTCTCTCTCGTGTTCCACTTTTACTTTATTTTTTGGTTCTGTGCCATCGTCATTTTCGATTAGAATGTGAGATTTTCTTAGCTGTTCTTTGCCTTTCATTATATATATATTTTCGACCATACATTTATACAATAAAACATTCTACACATAAATCCAAGCTTTTTTTCAAACTTTTTAATCACTATTTAAAATAATATTTTCCCAATAAAATGACGACAGACTTAATTAGATGGGATTAATTATTAGTGAGAATATCTATATTTTGTTTCTCTTATTATTACCATCCATTACTATTAGAAAAAATATAATTAACGAAAGGCATAATACTTATCTTTACCTCTTATATAACACTCTCCGTCACTCAATAGCGAAAATCTATTTCTTTTATTCATTTAACTTAATGTTAAATTCAGGGGCGGATACAAGGGGGGCTTGGCTGGGCTATAGCCCCCCCCTCAAGGCCCAAAAAATTTTTTTTTTAAAGGTTTTTCGTTCTTTTTTTTTTTTTGCTTAAAACAGTTTTTCATGTGTAAAAATTTTTTTTTTCGCATATTAACCTAGTTTGAAATTTTATAGTCCGATCTTAGATCTAATCCTGGGTCCGCCCCTGGTTAAATTGAATTCTCCTCCAAACGTAAAACCATGTCGCCTTTGTTCGTCATAGAAATGGTACTTCTGTTTATAGGCAAAAGAAGACTTTTGAGGAAACGTGTACCTCAAAGTGATGGGTTGAATATTCTCATCTTGGAAGTTGTAATTATTAAGTCCGTGCTCGTGGAGTTAAAAGAATCTCTCTTCTTCGGCAGAAATTAAAATCAATTTTTTATTAAATTTTGATAAAAATTGATGAAATATTTGGTTAAAAAGTTGTGAATTTCATAAAATATATTATTAAAATTAATTGTTGACTTAAATTTAGATTAAAGTTTGAATTTTAATATTCACCAAACGGAGGTTTACTAAATTTTAATAAAAATTGATGAAATATGTGATTGAAAATTATGAGTTTCATGAATTATGTGATTAAAATCAATTATTGATTTTGATTAATCTTTTAACAAGATTTTAATCTGTACCAAACATGGACTAAATATACACGTGTATATATATTTACTCCTTGTTTGTACCCCCACTTTGGGAGAAAAATACATTTGTGAATAGTGGTTTTTGAAGAAAATGAATCGATTTACGTGTAATATTATTTTATTAAAAAATGTGCGATTGAAAATGATTTTTCAACAAAATGGGGCTCAAACCCCTTAATTTCTAAAGTAGTCTACATTTCTCAGCGCGTTTATCAACAGGATGATGAGTGGATGATTAGCTCAGCATTGTTTTTCTTCATCATTTGAAAATGCGAAACACATTCTTGACTGGTTAAATTCACAAATGATCATTCAATTTTATACTTGATGTCATCATGGTTACTCAATTTAATTTTGTTTCATCATGGTCATCCAACTTTATACGTAGGCCTTGTTTGTTTCTGATTAAAATCATATTTTAATTTAAGTTAAAGTCAAACAATCAATATTAATCATATCTTTTATGGGTCCCACAGTTTTTCAACCACACATTTCAAAAATTTCAATCACAATCTACTAAAAATCTAATTTTGATCTCCATGAAACAACCACTTAATGTTACCATGATTACCCAATTTGATTTTATTTCATCATGATCATTCAATTTCATATAATATTTCACCATGACCACCCAATTTTCTTTCACCATTTTCATTAATTTTAAAATGGGTAAAACGTTAACTTTATATTTTATATAAAATAATTTTTAAAAAAAATTAAAATAAAAACTTATTTAAAATAAAATCAAATAAAAACTTATTTTAAATAAAGTTACTTAAAAGACAAAATAAATAAAAATTTATTTTAAAAAGTTACTTAGAAAAATAAAATAAAAAGTTATTTTAATAAAAAAGTTATTTAGAAAAATAAAATAAAATAAAAAGCTATTTAAAAAAAAAACGTTCCTTAAAAATTTATATAAAATAAAACTTATTTAAAAAAACGTTTTAAAATAAAATAAAAACTTTTTTTAAAATAAACGTTTTTAAAATTTTTTTAAAAAAATTTATTTTTGTTTATTTTGAAAAAAATATATATTTTATATATATAATGCAAAGTTATCGTTTTATCCCTTTTAAAATTAATGAAAATGGTTAAAAGAGGTTGGTTGGTCATCGTAAAATATTATATGAAATTGGGTAATCATAGTGAAATGTTATATGAAATTAAATGACTTGGTGAAATAAAATTAAATTGGATGGTCATGATGACACTAAATATAAAATTGGGTGGCAATTGTTTGAAAATACAAATTTAAAATTTTCATCCTCTTTTTCAACTGTTCTAGCAAGAACTTGAGCAATTAGGCTTTTAATAACAGATTATTTATCT